TTGACGTCGCAGATACTGTCTTATGACATTCCTCGATCACTTCCGAAGTAATCCGACAGACGCTCATCCTTTCATGGTGATGAATTTCTATGATGATTTGCTCAAGTCTAAAGTACTAAGTCGATTTTCCCACTCTCTAGGAAGCGTGTTTTCAGGGGTTGACACTTTTGCGAGCCGATTTGGTGGCACCGGACTTGTCGAAGTCGGAAGGGGAAGCGGTCGTTAGAATGCTGAGAGAAGTAGTGAAGAGCATACAGGGAATCATCCAGGAACCTATAATGTTTCCAATGGGAGTTCATTCAAAATTTTGCAGGGTCCTCGAACAGTCTGTCATGTAAATGTCATCACACTAGGAACATTTTCTTCATTTCTTTCGAACCCTGAGGGGACGTTATTTCTCAAAGATGTCTTGTTGTCCTCAGTTTTATGGTCAGCCAACACTTTTCAAGAAGTGGGTTGAAACTTTCAACTTGAGGTCGAGAGAATTTGATTTTGGGGAGTTCACTAGAGCAAACGATAGGTAGTAGGTTGCTGTTCGGGTTGAGCGTAGATGGTAATCCTCAGTTTCATACGTGAGATCTTCGGGAAGGCAGTGAGCGAGAGGATCCGACAGCAGACAGAAAATGCACCACAGATGTCGATACCAACACGTTCCTAGTCTACAATGTTCGTTTGGTTAATGAAAGTGTGGGAAAACATGCACAATATGGGAACTCGGCGGAAATATGGGGAATCTAGTCGAAATTGAGTGTACATCTCTATAATTAGTAAGGAAACTCATGAATTCAGTTGGAGGAAACGAATATGTACTTTAACGAGAGGATATCAGAAGTGTCTAGATACATAGTGATTAACTCGCGGTGGAGGGGTCCGACTTCGGTCATAACCCTGAAAGATCGCTGCTGGCACAACTGCGCCCCTTTAGGATGAACTCCACGTTCATCCCGGACCCATGTGCCGCGAGGATGGGATTTTAATGTTGCTCTAATGCTCTCACTCCGAGATAACTCAGATCCCTCAAAAGGTTTGTTACTTCTCTCATTCAACCTCTTCTCACTATCATCACTGTAAAAACGCGACAATGAATAAAGCAAACCGTAATGGATCAACAAATGTCACAAGCCAGAAGCACTTGATGCTAGGGCCAAGAGATGACCGTTCTTCTCGTACCTTGATAACGAGGCGATTATTCCTTACAACAAAGATAAAAGTGTGAGTTACAGAGCTTTCAACTCCTTGGCAACCGGTAGGAGTACTTCATCGAGACCTAACAAACATGATACTGCGATGATAGCTGAGCGGTCCCACATTCTCCGAAGCTCAACTCATCCCCATTGATAATCTTTTCAGTGGTATCAAATATTCCTTCGAGGGTCTTCTCGGCCTCGCGCTCGTACTCCTCGAATGTGAAGCCAACCTCACTGTCATTTGACGAAGGTGTGGAGTGATAGCCTCGTACGGGACTGCTACTACGGCTTGATGATTCAGATGCGGGCGAGGACGGATCCATCAGAAAGGCTCTGGTAGCGGACTTTAGAATATTTTTCGAAAGGGAGGCGTCCAAACTTCGAGTCGATTTTCGAATCTATTTTCGCTTATAAGATGCGGGTCTGGAACTTAGGTCTGGTTCTGGATTGAATTTACCACTCCGAAGAGAACAATGACCTTATATAGAGAAATCGTCATCATCCTTGCAACAAGCAAAAGTGTCCATCTGGATTATCATCAGTAACACGCTTGAGAACGTCGCCGTCCCAAACTCAACATAGCATATTAGCTCACGCGGGCCGGCTTGGTGATCCCCGACGATCTGAAGCTGCGGAAGGCTCCGGCCTCGCTGTGCCACTAGAACCATCTGGAACCAATATGAACACTATCTGATGATGCACTGGATGCCCCACCATGAACTGGTGATACTGTTTGCACTGCAGGAGATTCATCAACAGAACGGGGCGAGCTCGGCGACGTCGGGAGAA